AAGGAAAATAAACTCATGTTCACGTAATAGCGTAAAAAAGGATTTTTATGATATCGTTTTTTGTTTTTTCATTTTTGAAATAAAAAAATAATAAAAATATAGAGGCATATTAAATTCGGGTTTTTTTTAAAGAAAATTATATATAGTACAAGGGAAAATTCGAGAGGATATAAAATGTAAACTTGTGTCTTACGTGCAGTAATCGTTCAAATGTTCTAGTAATCTTACTCTTCGTCCAGAACGCGTTGTTTTGAGTTTATTTTCGGATACTGTCGAAGTGTGAACGTGTGTGTCGGCTGTCGATTGAAGTATTATAAGGGCAGGAGTTGTGTCGTGCGATTGTATTGAAGGAAAATGGAGGTGAATAGGATTTCCTTCTAAATACCCTGCTTTGAGGCGATCGATGCTGATGCTTTCGTTGATTCCGTTCTTATCGATTATATAGTACTTAGATTTGCGTTGAAGACCTCTGAAAGGTCCTTCATATGTTGATTCGAGAGGTCGTCGATGCGAGTCTCGACGTACGAAGACGTGTGTAGTACATCGTAAGTCAGGTTGAACGAAATTATAAGTTGATTGTAGTCGAATGGAAACAGGTTTAACTGAACGCATTGCGTTTGTAAGCCTGTTAACGTAGGAGGTTTGATCCATGTCAATCGAAGAAGATGAAGGATCCACGAACTCTCCTGGAGGTCGAAGGGTCTTACCATAAACGAGTTGAGACGCAGTGTATCCAATATCAGCTTTCACTGCATTGCGTATGGCTAGTAAGACGAGTGGGAAAGTGTCAGTCCACTGAGAAATGTTTGAGGCTGATAGTGACGCTTTTAGTTGTCGGTGAAAACGTTCTACCAACCCGTTTGCTTGTGGGTGGTAGGCCGTCGTTCGGAAGTGAGTGATTCCTAGTTTCGCGGTCAGGCATCGGAACAGTTCAGATTCAAACTGACTTCCACGATCTGTAGTGATGTTTGTTGGGCACCCAAAATTTGCTACCCATCGTTCGACGAAGGCGCCGGCCACTGTTTCAGCAGTAATGTCTTTGATGGGTACTGCTTCTGGCCATCGAGCAAAATGGTCTACACAGGCCAAAAGATAAGAATATCCATTCGAATCTGGTAAAGGTCCTACCAAATCCAAATGAACATGGTCGAAGCGAGCATCGGGAGTTTTAAACGAGCCTAAGGGACATTTGTTATGTCTAAAAACCTCAGGTTTCTGACAGCTTACACAGGAGCGTGCCCACTCCCTCACGTCTTTATTCATACCAGGCCAGCAAAACCGTTCTGCTATAAGCTTGATGGTTGCACGAACACCTGGATGAGAAAGTCTGTGCAACGTATCGAAGACATTGCGTCGATATTGTTTCGGCACGATTGGGCGATCCCTACCTGTAGATGTGTCACAAAGTAAGGTTTCCTTACCTGTTCTCATCTGTTTAATGCACAGTTTAAGTGTTGTTGAAGCCAACTCGTGCTGAAGATCACTGTCTTCTTTTTGAAGTTGAGCGATTTTTCCTTGGGAACTGTTCAAGGAATTTATACGAGACAAGGCGTCTGCAACTACATTGTTTACTCTAGAAATGTGTCGAATATCTGAAATAAACTGCGAAATGTAGTCCAGTTGTCGAGGCTCACGTGGTGAGTACTTGTCTGAAGATGAGCTTAAAGAGAAGGTAAGAGGTTTATGGTCGGTAAAAATGGTGAATTCACGGCCTTTGATGGAGTGTTGAAAATGTCGGACAGCACAATACATAGCTAGGAATTCCCTACCCAATGTTCTGTACCTCGATTCAGTGTCTAGCAACCGTCTAGAAAAAAATGCCAAAGGTTGCCAGGAGTGGTTAACCCATTGTTGTAAAACTGCTCCGATTGCTGAGTCGGATGCGTCTACTACGATGCTAATGGGCGCCTCAGGGTCCTGATGAGCAAGCATTGTTGCTTGAGCGATATGTTCCTTAACCGTGGAGAATGCTTTGCGTGCAGTGTCATCCAGATTGATGGATTTCGCATTTCCACGAAGTTGGTCGATAAGGGGTTTCATAAGGGACGTGCATTTCGGTATGAATCGTCTATAAAAACTTACCAGACCGTTAAACGTGCGCAATTGCTTGATGGTGGTCAGTTCTGGGTAATCCAGAATGGCCGCCACTTTTGTTCTAAGGGGTCGGATACCTTGCGCATCGATAGTGTGTCCTAAGAAGTCTAAGGAGTCGGTTTCGATTTGGCATTTCTGAATGTTTACAGTAATACCATGTCTTTTTAGTCGGTCGAAAACAAGATCCAGATGCTGGAGATTTAATTCTTTGTCCGGACTTGCTATTAGACAGTCATCAACATACGCATGTACGAAGTTGAGACCTCGAAAAACGTCGTCTATGCAGCGTTTCTTAGACCGAAGGGCATTCGCGAAAATTCGTAGAGTCCGGAGCGAGTTATGATTGCTGTTTTCGGAATATCGTCAGTAGGCATAGGAATTTGGATATACACTTTTACCAAGTCGATTTTCCAAGAGACAGTTGTACCTTTCAAGGTAGCTGTCAAATCGTGAATGTGGGGCAACGGGTAACGATCGGGAATGGTTTGTGCATTGAATGGCCGACAGTCAGCAGTTGGACGCCAGTGGTTGCTGTGGATTTTGGGGACCATGTGCAAGGGAGACGACCATGGGCTGTTTGATGGCCGAATGATTCCAAAGTCTATCATATGGTCGAATTCGTTCTTCGCCAACCTTAACTTTTCGGGGGCCAGTCGGCGTGCTTTCGAGAATACAGGTGGTCCTGTAGTCGTGATGTGATGTGTAACATTGCTGGTTACACACGGCAATTTCGGTTGCGATTGGTAAATGCCAGGATACTTATCGAGTAGTGGTTGGTAGAAGGGGTCTATAGTGTGCTTACTAGTGACTGGAGATAACTTGCAACCAGAAAAAGAAGTCAGGCAAACAGATAAATTAGTATTGCCATCTACTAGCCTCCATTTGCGCCTATCGACAATTAAGTTGTGGCGTTGTAGAAGGTCCATACCAATGATTGGCATGGAAACATCTGCAACAATAAAAATCCAGTGAATGGGTTTGCGTAAACCCACGTTAAGATAAACATACTTTTTGCCATACGTAGCGATAGGCCTTCCGTTTGCCGCCTGTAGATTTAAAACCGACTCGTGAAGCCGGTCGTTGGAATTCGCTGGGAGAACGCTAATTTTGCTCCAGTACCGACGAGGTAGCGAACTCTCGTTATCACATCAGTGACGTATAACAGACGGCTAAGTTCGCCGGCTACAGTTGCTGTTAACGCGTGCCGGCTTGGAAGTTTCTCGGAACATTCTTCGCGTCGACCGATTTCGCGTTGGGAAAATTGCAGGGTCTTCTGCAATTTCTGGCAGACTTTCCATACTGGTTATTATTTAGAATTACGGTCTACTATGATATTAGCACTGCTCTAATAATAGACCTAATCCTAAAATTGTAGATTTATCATGATGTAACTGCCTAATCTATAAGATCTTACGTGGAAGTTACATCATCGTCTACACCGATTCATTGCATTGTAACAATTACCAATACGTGATAGAGAACAAGCATAAGCTAGAGATAGAATATATATAATATGAATAGAAGATACAAGATAACATTCAGCTGGGACCACGCCTGCAAGGCCGAGCCATGCCATCCGATCAACTCGGACTAATTCAATTCCTTCCTTATTCCCGCCTTCTCCATTGTTGGGTATTTCCCAGCGTTAAATGTTGAATGTCTATTTTCCATTTTGTCTCGTGTTAGGGCTCAATGCCACTACAATTATACCAGCACCAGTCAGGATTATCCGTCTTTCGAGGTCTAGATACAGTAATATATCAAGTACGAAAATGAAAGAGTGGGAAATATATATACCCAAAAACACGGGAAAAATATCACAATGTATAAAAAAAGATTAAAATAAGACAATGATACATAAAATCACAAAGAGGAACAGACTCACACTTTGCAATTTAGTGTACCACATCACGTCGGGCTCACCGATGAAGACGCCACAGATATTCGGAGTTTGACAACCCTCTAACCAGTAACACCTTCTAATATGAAGCGCACCCAACAAGTAAAATCAAAAGACAGAAACGAGGAGATCAAAGATATATTTGATAAGCTATCAATATATCGAGGATCGTTTGAACTAATCTGGCTAGCGATTGCGGCAGATGTTGAGCACGGCGTTCCCACACGTGATCTGGTGCGGATGCTTGACCGAGCGCCCTCAGCTAGATGAGTTCACTAAAACTGTGGTCAGCATCCAATGTTGAAAACTTACAGAGCTATTTAAGTGTGGGGAATTATTTACCGCTACAATATGATGGTGTAGAAAGGTCGTCATGACTTAGCTCATGAACTGTTAATGAGTCGTATGCGCGTCGAAAACAGTCAGCATTGCTTCATATGTTTCAAGCCATTCACGTCTTTGTATTTGTCTACATAAAAGTATGCTAACTCAGCATTTTATGATGGGTTAGGTGGTTTAATTGAGTGTTGTGACGTTAGTTTAAAACGTTTTTCTTTCCATAACGTTAATCTTACCTTCTTGCTCTGAGACTCAGTTTTCATCACGGAAAGACAAATTGGACAAAAGCGTTTGTGCCCAGGGAGAACAGTTTGTGATTGTTGTTAATAATGGGAGCTTGAATTCTTTAAAGTAAGAGATATCAATGTTTCTTTACCAGAGTTTTAGTGATCTTAGGACTTTTTCAGGTAAAAAAACAATTTTCTACCGCTCTTCAGCCTCTAGCAATCATATACATATTGCGTTACTGAATAAACTCACCACAGTATGCTCTGTCAGAGGCTGTTATCTCAACATCATATGTTATTGATTATTGAAGCGCTCTCAGCCTTTTTTTATTAGTATGAAACAAACAAGCTAGAAATTACCGGTTTAAGTTATTTTAGCAACAACATACTGTCCGTTTCGTTTTATTTTTGTTTGAGCTGTTAATGTTTAGTGGCCTTTACAAACAGTAAGATGGCGCTTGCAAACAGTTGTGGACAATAATGGGCGTTTTGCTCTCCCAGTTTTCATCTCAGTGCCTAGATTTACACTTGGAAAAATACTCACAAAAAACGCTTCGCCATCACAACACTATATCCGAATAGAATCTCAATGTTTTGCTGCCGGAGTGAAGAATATAAAGAACAAAACCGCATCAACAAAGAAATTGAGAAACAACTGAAGCGCGACAAAAAAGATGCACGTCGAGAGCTTAAACTTCTCCTCCTTGGTATGTTTTACTGGAAATTGTCCATACTGTCTTGGCTATTTGATTAACGAGTCCAGTCACATAAAACTTAATTTGTCTTGATGACAGACAGCTGGTAGTATGTTAACTCTCTGATGAGCTTGAGTGCTTATCTATTACTCTTTTGGGTGAGCCAATCAAAAGTGCAAACACTTTCTTTGGTAGCAAATCTCAAGAGTCGGTTATATGGCGGAAAAACATGTACACCACAGGGATTCTGTTCTTTCTTAGCTTCTGAAATCACCTTCGCTCTTTAATTTATCCCGACCTAGTTGAAGAATGATGATACATACGACTAGAAATCAGTTTTTCAGTCCTCTTCTCGCCATAGCTTAGTTACCCCGGCATGTGTATAGATCTATTTTCTTAAGACGTACAGTACGTAAATAAAATAAACACATAAATCTGACTTTGTACGGACATCAGTTCTCCCTATTCTCCCCGGGATATCTGGCTTGACTTCTGAGTAGGGTTTAGGGCTGTGCACAATTTTCGTGTTTAAGTCTCACCAGGGCTATGTAAACCATGATGAACATCTTTGTGTTCCACTTGATAGTTCATTTTAAAACTCATACGGTTCTAAGCCACCGACTTCACGTAACTTTTCCCTGTCGATTTTGTTGTGTAAGATAAGCCTTTCCTTAATCCATGTGATGCACAAGCGGTGGATTACTGAAAAACCATCTCAGTTGTTTTTCCTAGCATTTAATAGCTCTCGTTAATTATCTCATCTGTTCACAAGATTTTTTCAGACGGCGACCAGGGGCTCTGTAGCTTCTAGTATCAGGAAATATGTTTTTGAAAATCGTTTTGTACGACCTGCATGATCGTGGCTTGCATCATCGATAAGCAAATTGAATGAACCAAATATACCCACTGATATAATATGTTACAACCGTCACATTGCATTCAATCAGTCTAGAAGAAACTGGTGGGTTTACTGAATCTATATTTAGTCTAGGGCATTTATTAGGTGATTGAACAACCTTAAGTATTACAAAGGCCTTAAAAATACTAAATTAAAATCAAGGAAATCGAGTGAAATGCCGGTTCACAGATAAATTTATGTCCAAGAAGTACAAACACCCCTAGGAAATGCAAAAGCAAGGTTTTGTTTTGGTACTTTATTTAAAATTAGCTCTTGGAGGTTTGCGGAAACCATAGGATTTTCATTGTTTAAATCATAAACTGATCTTAGCTAGACCACCATTAAGAACTCTGAAGTACTGGAAAGCTATTTCATCCTAGCATGGCATTAATCCAATTAAAATATTAGTTTCTCCTTGTTGGAAATGATCACAACTAGAAGTTAGACTCATCAAGGAAGTGTTCAACTAACCCTTTCGAATAGGATATGGATGAAGTGTACAATTATTTATTCTTATGATTAACTGAAAACCAGTGCCTGTGTTCACACATACTAGAGTTTCAACTGATTTCATGAGCCATGATGTGCTAGTATGTACTACATCTCATCTTTTAATTGGGTATTCTGCCAAGTTTGCCAAGGATCACTACTTTTTCGCTCGTTCGAATAAACTCATTACATTTCTACTTTATTCCATCTAATATGCAACAGCACTCCCTTTATAACCCACTAGGTTGCTTAATTTAAGTCCATTATACTACAAAATTGAAAGGTTGGCTAGATAACATGTCGAAAATGTATTTCTGCGTGATTCTGAACATCCCAGGCAGACTGTTGTAATTCTTAAAATTTGCTGTTAATCATAAACTAAATTCGCCTCAAGATCCTTTGGGATTTGATTGTGTATCCTGTCAGCAGTGTGCATTTAACCTCTCGTAACCAATATAGCCCAGTAAAATGTACGCTTCATATTTATTTCGCTAACATTCTACCACATCCACCTTCATGCTTCCTCGTCATAGTAGTGATAGCACATACTAAGTCACTAGCTGTGGCGTTGCATACTGATTATCATAGAAATGGGTGGAAAAATGTAATGATGATCAGACTGAAATATGGTCCCCAGAGACAAACTAATGATATGGGCAAAGTAGAAGAATGCAGACTTGGTGGCTTGATCCTAGTTGGTCTCACTAAGATGCATTCAATCTTCACTTTTCCCTAAACCTTGTATGTAATATTATTCCGTCCTTTGTGTATTCATTTGTTCGTTTTTTGCGTAGACTTTCTACAATTGTTGATAGTATTTTCACTTTTTCCTTTGGGTTATTTCTTCACCTCTCGAATGGAGAGTGTAATGACTGGTGTTGACTCACTTTTAATCATATCCTACGTTTATGCTCATTTTTTCAAGCAAATCACTCAAACCAAATATTTTGACCACTTGAAAGTTTTCATTTCTGTAATAATTATTGGATTTGTGTAACAAAATAACTTGCTTTGGACACTATATTTTTGTTGCATGTACTACCAAAGTACGATGTTTCTTAGTTAAGTTCTAAGTTTAGTTAGTTCTACTCTCCTTTGCATCGTAATCGTTGTACCATGAATCATTTAACATCTTGTAATTATGTTCATATGAATCGCGTAGTAGGAAGTTGGTGCTTTGTACGATATCAGTATCAGTCATAACCATCATATATCCTTACTCAAATATGCATTGTTCCAAGTTGTCGATAGAAACAATTGCTAGTTACTTTGAACAAGTATTTGAATTCTCAGTGTATTCCTCGACCGCATTTATAGTCTTCTCTTAGTTCACTCTAGTAGTAATTACATAGTAACAACTCGAACTTCATATTAATCTTTTTAGTTATTTATTTATTTGAACACATAAATATTGGTACAGGGGGGCACCAAATATATATGCGCCACACAAAACAATGATAATTTGAAGAGAAGGAAAAAAGAGAGAAAAAAAGTAATGAACGTGGGAAATTATAAAAAAAAAGAGAGAGAACAATGATGGGGAAAACGGAAAGGTACAATCAGAAGAAATCTTTCAGTTAAGGAAGGAGCAACCACTTTTTATGAAGACTGTAAAAGAAGGTTACAGCAGGATCGCCATTGGCTTCTATTCTGCGCCATATCTGATAACGTCTCTAGCCACTGCATTACACCGTCTCTCGGACCCCAACCAGGGAGTCGTGAAGGACCAACAGAAGCTAGCCCTTTGCAGCTTTCTTTCATACCACGACACCATGTCATATACTGACCACCTCTCCGCTTTTTCCAACCAGTCCCAGAGTCGGCAAATAATGCACGACGAGGAATTCTCTGGGACGACATTCGTAGAACATGTCCAAGCCACCGAAGTCGGTGTGTCAAGATGGTGACACCAATATCATTATCGTCTCTGTGACCGAACACACGATGCCGGACCTCTGCATTACTGACATGGTGTTGCCACTGGATGCCAGCAATCCTTCGGAGACAACGATGATCGAACACAGAGAGTCGTCTAACATCCTCAACTCGGAGAGGCCAGGTTTCACAAGCATAGAGCAAAACTGCTCTCACCGTCGCGTTGTAGATCCGACCTTAATCTTTTTAGTTATTTTTAATTAATATAATTATTGTTACTAATTTAAACTCTTCTCCACTTACTAAAGTTTGAACAGTGAGATTGTATCACTGACGTTTGAAAAATGTGACTTATGTAGTAGTAAAATCTTTTTTACAACAAATGATTTCCTACTTTTTGAATTTTTCTGCTTTTACTAGGTACCGGTGAGTCGGGCAAAAGTACCTTCATCAAGCAGATGCGCATCATCCATGGAGCAGGTTATTCGGACGATGAGCGAAGAACCTTCATCAAAATTGTTTATCAAAACATATACATGGCTATGTTTACGATGGTTCGTGCTGTGGAAAGTCTAAAAATCCCTTATGAAAACCCAGCAAACAAGGTTAATCTTTTAAAGTTATACTTCTGTTATGTAATATGTCATGATCCTCATTCGCAAAATTAAAACTAGTGTTATAAAAAGTCTTCAAAAAGTTCTTGAATTACAAAAATCTATTCACTTCATGACTGATTAATCATTTGGAAACATGTCCTAATTACTTCACCGAACCTCATTAATACAGTCGATAAATACTAGTCGTAAGATTTTCCTTGTATACATTAATCAAATCCTGTATACTCTATGTTTCAATCATTTTAAGTTGGTAACAAAAATATCCATATTTCGTTCTTTTCCTTTTGGGAATTGTGCCCGCCTGAATCGCTGTCCTACCTTTGTCCATACCAATTTATCAGAAAAATATTGGTAGAAGTGACGATGCTTTGATCATTGCAGTTAAGTTTCTAAACTGGCAGTTTCATAAGTATCCTTCCTTACTCTGATAATTAAAGATTGCATCATTATATGCAGCTGTTGTCGATTCCCTGGTGTATACACATTCTAAAGAATGGTGGAGATTTGTAGTTTAAGTGGGTGGTTTTACTAAAATTTCGTTCTATGAACTACGTGGTTACATCATGAAGCTTTCATTGTGCTTTTGGACAAAACAAGAGTAACTGTATGGTTAAGAACTAGGTCAACAAACATAGCAATCAAAATAAATATCCTGACAATGATAGAATAAGAGTCAACAACATCTGATCAAGACAAAGATCGACAAAAGAAGCTCAGTTGTATATAGAGAAGTTTGAGTAACTCACTTCTAGGGCTTGTGCTAATGATGCCCAGAAGGACAATAAAAGCTTCGCAATTAAATCGCTTAACTCGAAGAAAAAAGTTCACTAAAATTTTAAGGAGCGTTTCAAAAATGAAGTGCAAATGTGTTTGGGATACAAAATCTCGGCTTTTGATACACAGAATTTCTCACAGGTCATACTTTAAAGATTCTCCCACGATAGGATTTTCTTCTTTTCAAACGATACTCCCAAACATTGGTGTGTAAACATGCCTGGTTTGTTTATATTCTAACAATCTGTCGATGCATAAATTAATAAAATATTTGCTGCCTTCAAAACTACTCCCTATTCCTTTCTAGTTTTAAAGCTTTCTGGCGTTATATCATTCCAGAAAATCCCGCCTATAAGATATTTAATGTGTTCTACATCCTCTGTTGTAAAAGTTGACTGAAACTGCTACAATTTTAGGAATTAGGAAAAATTAACAGTATCAGTGATTTCATCCATTCAACACAAAGTACATATGCTCTAATAAAAATGGTGTTTAAGATGAGACGTATTCTATTGAAATCTTATCAATCTTCAGTCACAATTTCCTCTACTCGTGTGAAAATCGTATATTCCTTGTTTTTAGGTATACTAAAGATCCTATGATACCCATAGTGTAATCAGTTGAAAATATTCGCTAATTACTGTATTAGTATTCTAATAGAAAATATGTACTCAGATAATTTCATCAATCCTAAGTTTAATTAAGTTTCTACTAATTACTCAACATTTCTGGGAATTTTTGACTTCAAGTTTACCTTCTAAAATTGTCTAAACGATTCGTCAAGCTTTTGTTATAACGAAATTTTAGCTCTTGGATACATGATTATTTTACTAAATAACGTTAGAGTAAGCGCGTTAAATGCAACTGACCATTGAAGTAATTAATTGAGAAAAATGCTTTTTCTAACCGTGTTCTATTTATTTTCTCAGTTGAATGTTACAAAATGTACTAAATGGAAACTTTCTCAACTTCTGTATTTTTAGGCATATGGGGAAGCAATAAAAGAGATCGACTATGAGACCGTTACTACTATGGAACCACAGCACGTTGTAGCTATCAAATCATTGTGGGATGATCCAGGCATCAAAGAATGCTATGATCGTCGTCGTGAGTATCAACTAACAGATTCAGCAAAATAGTAGGTGGATTCTTAAGTTATGACATTGTTTAATGTTATACTTTTCTTACTCATTATCGGTTACAAATGTATGTTTATTTTACCCGGTACCTCTTATGATCGAATCTCTTATTTTCATGTATAATTTGATGGATATCATTTTTGAGTTGAGATGTTCATGTACACACTACTACTATATTTACCGAAACACTTGTTTCTTTGGACCCTACTGTGCCACTTAGGTCAGTTGGAAAATAATAGGATTAGAAACAGTAAACTCAAAGTCCGGTGGGGATTTCAAACTTCTAACTGTACTGGGATGTAAATGCAGTAAAGAATTTTTTCGGACAACCAGGATCTGTGGCGATACTGTCATCTCCCAACAGAAGGAAGAGGATTCAAACGGTTGGCTCTAAGATTAACATACTTGCCACTATCCCATGGATTTTATTGTCGGCGGTAAGGTCTAAAAACTACAAAGCTAACATATTCAAAGCAACTTACAAAAAGGTCATATGTGGCAGGTCTCAAGTAGTTTTCCTTTGTGCTCTGCAATCATGCTTTCTCGTTGTCAGGGCTGATTCTAACACAGGTTCAAGTTCTTTGAGAAGTATTTTGCCACGGTCTAGCGAACTGGATTGGGACGACCACCTTCATATCTTTATTAGTACTTTAGGTATCCTTTCTTACGACTGAATCCCTTCGTTTCCTAATATCGTTTCTATCCATACTATTAACCCTTAGCTTATGTCTACCATTGTTACTGGTCCGATTGTCCGAAGCTCAATTATTGGTCTTCTTAAAACACCATTACAATCTGCATCTCTCAGTTTTAATTTTCTGCTCTTATTCCACGAGGTCTTGGGTTTCATTACTTTTCCATACGTAACTTTTCATTTCGTCTTCTCGAACCATATTCTTAATGTTTAATTTCCTCGCTATTACTGCTTTTACGATTATTTAGACTCTAGCTATTCATCATGCTGGTGTGGTCTGTGAAGTACATGAATTGTGTAACATTCCCTCGGAAGGTACTGTAAACGCACTACTGTTTAAGGGAATTCCTAGAAAAAGAGAGCTTTCTCCAACTCCGGTTGTATCCATTAAGGGTATTGAGAATGACCTACCTGAAACTGCTTATATTAAATTTAGTTTTGTTGTTTATTTTCTGCAAATTCAAATGTTTTCTTTTTGAATAAATGTCTCCACTTTTAGCATCCTTCATTTTTGCTGTTGTCGTTAACGTTTCTCTCTTACTAATTCACTCATCCTAATATATTATTTTTCCTTGCTTCAGTGTGTTGTAAGTATACTTTTACATAATAGTTGCTTGTCTAGTGTTATGCACAAATCTCTAGATTATCAAACAGCTAACACAGAGGTTATTAAATGGTTTTACACTTATCGTTCAAGATAGTTACAGCTAAAAGTTAATGTAATGGCCAAGAATTAAACTAAGTATTAGGTCTTTGTTTCTTTAGTTTATGACACACTGTGTGGCCGTAGTGAATGAGAACTTATGCGGGAAAAACAAATTTATTGTTTAATGCAAAATTACAGTGGTTTAGTAAAATATAAAAATCATACATTAGATACATCGTTTGCATATCCTGGCGATGTTATATACATACTGCATTATTCATGTAATTCTGTTATTTTGATTGCTCTCTGATTACCTTTCTGTTCTCTTCAATTCAATCTTCTGCTACCAGACATTCCACTTCCTATTGCGGCTACGTACTACTTATATCTGCCAGCATAAGTAGCATATACGACGTGATTGTCTCATTGTTTCATGAAATGTAAATGTAATTGAAAATCATTAGTACATAATTCATTTTATTTATTATATTAATTGTATTCTATTTTTCTGTTATTACACAGCTATTTAGATAATCTTGACCGAATTTCACAGTCAGATTATTTACCGACGCTTCAAGATATATTACGAGTTCGAGTTCCTACTACAGGCATTGTAGAGTACTTGTTTGATCTAGATTCTATCATATTTCGGTAAGTCTTTCAAATATTTTCCCCTTACCAACAAACTATTCCCAAATGACTGAAATTTTAATGCAATATTTTGTTTTACAAGTTAAAAACAAGTGAGATTTATGTTATAAAACAAACAGACGAAACAAGTATCGGGAGTTATGACTTCTATTTCCAAGAAAATAACATTTCCATCTTGCAAATCAGCCATGATGAATGACTAGTTTCGACATCCGCCGATATTTTTTTTTTGCGAAATGATATTCATTAGTTTAGTTGATAAAGTTCTGATATTTGAGTTAGTAATAGTTATATCTTCATCTCATAGATGGTAGGTAATGCTGACATGATGACCCGAAAGCATCTTATCAGTAAGTTTTAAAGGAAACAAAATTACGAAACGAATAAATGCATCCTGGCACTAGCTGTCATCATTCAATACTGTTACTTAGAGATATGAACAAAAAGTCATAATTTCTACCGTAAACAAACAATTCTACTTAATGAATCGACCATAAAACTTAATACGTCCTATTGATAAACTATTTTCAAAGTCGAGGAAGATTTCATAATGCAATTGTATTGCTGCTGTGTCTTTCTAATTTTCGTGTAGCTATTTTTCCCATTGTTACGGTGTTATATTTTCTGCTCTATTTGTGTCGTATCGGATATGTCAGCATTACTTGAATAAACACATTTGAGTTAAGATTGATTCAGGCAACTTTATTAACTTCTTAATTTCTAATTATACATATATGTTTCTGTATTATTTTGTAAAGTTTAGTATACATTACAAGCCAATATTTCCAATGTTACAAAAACTTACATCATGAACAGTTAAAAGGAAATATGATTAAAAGAATATTAAGGACATTAATCAATAGAAAGTAAATAAGTCTACAGTGAACCAGTAAGACGGGAATAAACAAAAATGTTCAGTAACTATTGTTCATTAGGAATGTTAGTCATTTAGTATTAATTATATTTCACTAGTTGAAATCATGAGTCAATTGAAGCTAGACCATCATTGAAAACCTGAAAGCACTGGACGGCCGTTTCGTCCTAGTATGGACTCCTTAAGAGTGCACACTCACGACCCCGTTCGCAGGATTCGAACCCTTAATCTTCAGACCACTAAGCCGGCATCAAACAGTGTTAGTGTCTAAATTCAACCAATCCACGAAATCGCGCCACTATACACCAATGTCTTCAGTAAGCTGATATCTCACAACAGACCTGGTTGGATTCCACTGGTAACGGCTTCTCACTAATACTCCAGGAAATGCCGGCTCAGTGGTCTAATGGTTAAGCGCTTGCGCGCGAGTCTGATTAGTCCTGGGTTCGAACCTCGCGGAGGGCTGGATCGTAAATGTGCACTGCTGAGGACTCTCATACTAGGGCGAAGCTGAAGATTTATTCAAATCATCTACATTGAATTCTGTTTACTTAGGTAATAATTTATTCATCCTGTTAGTCATTTGTGGTAAACAAAGCTATATATAGATGTATACTATTCATTAATGATATGAATGTTTTAGTGACAATAAATAATTATTGACAATTTTTAGTATGGGGTTTTGTAAACATTGTAGTATTTTCAGTCAGTCAGCTATACTCTAGGACCAGGCACATATATGCATCGGTCCAAGTTGCCATACCTCATTAGCGCAACAAGATGAACACCGGGTTCATAGAAGTAAAGTCAATGATGGTAATATATAAAAGAAAGATTGCATATAAGGATAGAGTACAGGAAGAAGAATTTGGTACGTAGAAAGAAAGATATGAAGCAATTTTAATCTCACGGTTTAAGGGAAAACAGAAAGTGTATACACCGACGCCATTGTGATCGATTGTGAGCCATCTCACCCAGAGTCTCCAACCATTGGTTACGATAGTCACACGGACCCCAACCAAGTAGTCTGCATCTATCAACATGGCTCAGACTCGAAGTTAGTGTCTTCAAGCACTGATGCCACGTTTTGGTTTGGCCGCCCCTAACTTTTTTCCAATTATCCCTAACACCAGTGAGCATTGCGTGTCGTGGTAATCGGTGTTCAGGCATACGCAACACGTGGCCCAACCATCTCAGTCGAAGATTCATAACTTCATCAACCGATTGACCATCATCTCCTAATACCCTACGTCTAACCTCACTATTACTTACCCGGTGATCCCAGCAATATTTCTAAGGCATTTGGTCAAATACTAGTGGCTTACGAGTATCTTCAACTCTTAGTGGCCACATTTCGCAGCCGTAAAGTATATCAAAACGAACTGCCACGCACTATACTCATCCCTTAATTGATAGACGGATATCTCGCCTTCGCCATAGATGACGTAAGTTGAGGAAAGCCAAACGAGCTTTTCGAATTCGTGCTGAGATTTCGTCAGACACCAACCCATTAGGGTTGATCAGACTTCCAAGATAAGTATTATCAACACGTTCGACTACTTCATTCCCTATCCTTAGTTCAGGTGCTGACACAGGTCAGTCCTGAAGCAAAAACTTGCATTCAGAGGGAGAGAAGCACATCCCAAACACTCCGAAATCGTTGCTCAGTGCTACCAAAAGACTCAGCATTTTATCTTCGACTCCACCAAACAAGACTATGTCATCTGCGTATTCTAAGTCGATAAGTGGACCTCCTGGTAGGAGATCAATACCCGACAATTCAGTCGATGAGAGCGTTATTTCCATCAGGAGGTCTATGATAAAGTTAAACAGAAAAGGAGAAAGTGGACAGCCTTGGCGGACCCCACTTGGGGTTGCAAAGCGGATGACAGTTCTCCATAAGCTCTGACCCGACTAGTAGTGTTCGAGTAAAGAGCCTTCACAAGGTTTATGTACTTTTGAGGTACGCCTTTCAATTTATTTATTTATTTACTAATTTTATTAGGATGGTTGATGTTGGTGGACAACGTTCTGAACGTCGGAAGTGGATACATTGTTTTGAAAGTGTAACCTCAATTATGTTTCTAGTTGCATTATCTGAATATGACCAAGTATTGGTGGAATCCGATAATGAGGTATGTAACATTCTCTACAGATCATTTTTTGTGTACTGTATAGATTTCAAATTACTTAAGTTTATTAGCATTATTTTAGGTTGTTTTGTAAATTTTCCGTTCAAAGGGTTATAAAAATCAGGAAGTTTATACAAATGTACGTCGTGTGCTTTCTTAATTCATTTAATGTGATTATGCCGTAATGATGACAAGACAGTAGTTGTGTGACACCCTAGTTCGATTATCGATTAGTTCACATGTGTCCACCGGTAGGACCGGTGACCTATGTAATAATTAACATAAGAACAGACGACACCTGAACGCTTACGGGTCCCCGAGCTGCTTCTAACCCAGTGCCCAATCAAAAGATAAAAATATAAAGCAAATCAGTTCTCTTTTGCATTCAATTCAATCGCGATTCTAAACTCAGACAATAATATACTTGAGATGTCTAACCATACAGTTAGATAGTTATTTCTGTAATGTACGGAAGCGGAAAGTGTTTATATAAGTGTCTATTTTATGGGATTGAGCAGGAGTTAGTGTTATGTGTCATTCTACGCTTTATTGAATTTAGTTTACTTTAAACTAACAAACTAAATAAACACAAAATATTTTGTTGCTAATTTCTGCACTTAAGTATTGTCAGTACGTGAATAATTAAGTCACAACAAATTCAAATGTGTTACAGTCTCATTTAGCACTAGTAAATGGGATGGTATTATTGAATTTCATACAATATACACTGCCTTGCACATCCATAGATTTGTGTTTTTAAAAAAAGTTTTGCTTAAATTAGTTCAGATAGAATGGAATGATTTTCCATTAATTCTGTACTGTATTTTATAGAATCGTATGGAAGAGAGTAAAGCGCTCTTCAGAACAATCATTACTTATCCATGGTTTCAAGAGTCATCTGTTATTTTATTCCTAAATAAGAAAGATCTTTTAGAAGAGAAAGTACTGTATTCTCACCTTGTTGATTATTTTCCTGAATACGATGGTAAGTGTTATGATTTTCTCATTTTTTTGTTGAAAAAAAGGTTAATTACATTCTGTTTGGTATTTGCCCATGTTTAACATAAATTGTCAATTCAAACTCGAAGTAACTATCTTCAACGTACAAAAAGGGATGTTGATTGTTGAATTGTTTGTTATATGAAGTCGGTTCTGTGCGAAAAAAACAATTCATTGATGAAACGTTAGGAGTGATTCAAGTGGCTAAATAAGTATCTATACCAATTTGAATAGTTTTCGGTAGCCAATACCAGCTACTTATCGTTTGACCAAATCAAAGCTGTTATTTTTGTATAAGATCTAAGTATTTTAACTATAACTGTTATGTTTTGAAAATGGTGATTTTTTATGGCTCGAGATACTACTGATCTATATCGCTAGTAGGACCGGTGATCTATTTCACGAGTATACACATTGACCAATCAACTATAACCAAGGCTTTAACATACTTATTTGGTCAAGCTCCTTGTAACCCCAGTAGTCAATCAGAAGACTCAGATAGGAAGTAAATTAGTTTATTCAATGACTCAAAACGAATACAAAGTTACACTTAAAAATACCTGACAACATAGCATATCAAATAAGAAATCACAGCTTAGACACAATCGTTATTGTGTAATTGAGCTGGTGAATATGGGATTCACATATGTTTACAATTGTTGCATGATTAAGTAATTCAGACACAACTTATTTTCACACTACTCTTGTTATTTGTACTTTTATTTTCATTGTTAAAGCTACAATTTCCGTAACACTAATGTTTTTTTTCAATGCAAAGTTGTACACTTTTGTTTTCTTATTCATTCGAATGAAACTTTACTTTGAAATTTGTACGGTTAACTTGTATTGGTAATGTTTTCTTCTTCCTCCTCCTCCTCCTCTTCGTTATCATCATCTTTCACATCAATTTACATAAATTGACAAAAATTAAAAGAAAACTATATAAACGAACAAAAGGTCATGTAATTTAAAAAGAAAGTTTAGAAAGGTGAATTTTATTTTTTAGAAAAAAAAAGGGAACAAATACGTACATCTTTAGGTCAAGTTTTTTGAATAGAAAGGTTTGACACTTTATACTGATAATATGATAAAATGAGTACTTATATTTAGATTGTTTTCTTCAGTAGTAAGTTTACATATTAATTAATTAAATAAATTATGAGTTTAAATGATCTTTATTTATTAAAACATCACTAGTTCAAAATATCTATCTATTCGTTAAACCAAAATCTCAGTCGATTTTACAAAATACATACAAAGTAGAAGCTCTCGTTCATCCATTAACTGTTAACTTGAGAAGAAAAAAGAAACTCAATGTATAATACAATCATAATAATAAAAAATTTAGTATATTAGACGTTTGTTTTTATAGTACTGGTCATATTCGTAATTTGGATAGTATTTAGTCCTAGGCTTTCCTTTCTAGTTCTATCCAATTTTGTTCATTCTTCTCATATCTGTCTCCATTTCTCGGGGTAATGTGTTCTTTGGTCTTGAGGATCCCATGTGAGGGCTTGCCTTGTGACGCAGTTGGGTGCGTTCCTCAATGTGTGTCCTATCTATTTCCAGCACTTCTTCCTGATTTCTTCCTCCACTGGAATCTAGTTTGTTCTCTCCTACAATAGGTTGTCACTGATAGTGTCTGGCCAACGGATCCGAGGTATTTTGTGTAGACAACTGTTAATGAACACTTGTATCTTCTGGATGATGGGTTTCATAGTTCTCCAAGTTTCCACCCCATACAGTAGAATTGTGTTGACATTTTTATTGACAATTCTGACTTTGGTGTTGGTTGACAGACAGTTGTTTTGAGTTCCAGATGTTCTTCAGTTGTAGATATGTTACCAGCTACCTTGAAACTGCACCTTAAACGTTGATCTACTGACTTGTCGACTAAACTTCTTGACCAAATGCTCAAGGAGTAGCCTCCCGAGAAAACCGGCCGGAGAGTATCCCAGTCCTCATACAAATTAAATACTCACTACTTTGTGTGGTGCATATATATTTTGATGCTCCTTCGTACCAATATTTATGTGCTTAAATAAATAATAACTAAATGTATTAAATTAATAATAAGTTTCCCTGTCATCATAACTGTCCAAGAAACAATTTTACAATGTATAACCTCAGTGATTGCCATTTCAATGCGTAATTATTATACATAAACAACTATTGTTCTTCATTTTATATATTAACAATCATTATCTCAATATAAGTAAAATAATAAACGTTCAAGATTCATCAAATCGTATCAGTATTATTAGTAACATGTATCTATCATATAGTCAGTGATTTACAGCAGAATGTAGAACCTGACACTCATACGCATCATGTTAAGTTGTTATATCACATTAGAATATCGAGATAAAATTACTTTAAGGTAAGTCACAGAGTAGTAGAAGTTATAACAGTGTCAGTAGAAGTAGTAGTACTATTAGAAAATATTATATATATATGTAATTTCATTTGTCCTTTTCTTCAAGGTCCTCAACGCGATGCAGAAGCTGCACGTGATTTTATTCTAAAAATGTTTGTTGAATTAAATCCTGATCCTGAGAAAATAATCTACTCTCATTTCACATGTGCTACTGATACAGAGAATATACGTTTTGTTTTTGCTGCTGTAAAAGATACAATTCTTCAATTGAATTTGAAAGAATATAATCTTGTTTGATGAATTATATCATGAAGTATGCATCATTTTGTCAACGGTAAAGATTAATTATTTCTACCGGTGTTTATATTATGTCAGTATAATTATGCACAGGATTACTTAACGTTTTTTTAAATAAATAACTTCATATATAATTATATAGAAGAAATTTATTGTTTAGCATAATTAGTATACAATGGAGATAAGTTTTGTCGGGCTCGAAGCAGTTACCCACCGCAGACATTGAAAGATGGTCGCATAATATCGTGGATTGATTAAAGTTAAACATCGACACCATACCTGCCAGCTCAGTGGTCTGGAGGTTAAGCGTTCACATGTGAAACCGAAGGTCATGAGTTCGATTCCCACCAGGACGAAATAGCTGTCCAATGCTTTCATGTTTTCAAAGGTAGTCTAACTTTGATTGGTTTGTGACTTCGATGGAAATCAACAATCTCCACAGCTGCTTACTGACAATTATCATGTGCTCACTAGTGACCAGCGTTGAAGGGGAATTTCCGAAGTTCTAGTGAGAAGCCGTGACCAGTGTAGCTAATTATGTCGGTTGTAAAGCAGTTACCCATGGAAGACAATGAAAGACGGTCGCGCATGTCGTGGTTTAATTTATTAGAGTGATATGTCATAGTTGTTATCACTTAAACAAACTTTTACATTAAGATTATAAGCCACTATTTACCAATCATCAAGGTTCACCAGGTCAGAATTTCAAAATCAATTCCTTCGATTAGAATTTTTCCAGTGATTAACTCATAATTATCTTTTCATAAGTATTAAGTTGTCTACATTTCATTATTTTATATTATGTTTAGCCTTCCATCTACGCTTAAAATTCAAATTATTCTCAGCCAATCAGTGTATGTATTGTCGACAGTCTTAACGCAATGTATCTACAACTACCAGTTAATTTTACGCAACGAACTCTCCCTATCCATACCCCTATATCAGTTTTTGGATTCCGCGCCGCCGCCAGTTTGCCTTTTTTCATGTTCGTTCCGTTATTATATATATATATATATATATATATATATATATATATATATATATATAAAGACGATAATACATGCATATACACTGTAACCTCCCAGTAACTGCTGTCAACTATGCCTACCGTTCATTAAAAATGATGCAATACTACCACTCATTCTTATCGACTCATGTATTTTTCAAATTGGTTTTTCTTTCCTTCTTTCTTCGCTTCCTCATTATTGCTCCTTTTTGCCTCATTCCACATTCACACTATTTTGGTGCTGTTTATTTCTTCCATTTCATCCACTTAGTGTATGTATGTATGGATGTGTTTAATGTTTCTACCCAATAAACTGCATTCATTGTCCGGCCCCCTGTCCTTTGTGCTTACTCAGTAATATTTAGACGATGTAGTTGTGTGTGTCGGAGGTGGTTTAGTCGTGATGATATGTATTTCATCGAAATTCTTCCTTATTTTCAAATGACCTTTTATCATAACTCTTCTTTGTTGTCTTGTTATTGAACAGGACTCTCTCTTTTAATTACTTGGTTTGCTAATTTGTTTGTTTGTGTTATAATAATAATGTTTATTTGTTTAAAAGGAGAAATAAGTGGTAGTTTTTCGTTCTCCTTTCCTTGTATCGTCGGCTTTGATTGTGTTCGCTTATTTGTTTCTTTTTTTTGTTAAATATATACATGGATCTAGTCTAATGATTTACCACATGCCTTTATTGTGTACGTGTCGAAATAGAAATCTCCTTTTTGTAATCATCGAATTTGCTAATAATAATAATAATAATATGCGACTAGTTTTATTATTTTTTTCTTTGATAGTCTATATTTTTGTTCTCCTATGAACTGATTCTTACTTTAAAATGTGTGTGTTTTCCTTTAATTTTTCCACCTTCACATTTCTCTTCTTTTGTATATTGATCTGTTCCTATACCCTCACTCCCTCCTCCCACTTTCTTTATGATAAGCTCTTCTTCTTGTTCGTCGCCATTGTACTTGCAGAAATGAACAAAAAAAGAAAAAGAAAACTCCTGTCGACCGTTTTCCACTCACTGTAATAAAAATATTTAGTCTACACTTTATTGTGCTATTGTTATTCTGTTTAATTAGTTCGTAAAATTATCGTTTCTGTTTTTGATTGAATTTTGTTTCTTATAATATTAAGATGAAAAATTCTTTCTCTGTTTTTTTCTTCTTTTTTCTTTAAAAAGGTAAATGAACAGATAGGTTTTAGACGCTTTTTATGTTCATAATTTTTCTATTTTTCTCTTTTGTGACTTGCATTTTGTTAGCAAAATTGTGTGTGTGTGTGTGTGTGTGCACGGATGCATTAATCAATTCCCCGTTAACGATTGATCTATTACAGTTCTTATTACGCAATATGTATTTATCAATATTATTACTGTTTGAAAAGAGTGTAACAGATCATCTTTTGTTCTAACTATTCTTCCATTTCATTGAAACCTACGATTTTGATTCTATATCAATCAGTTGTTTGTTAAAAATTACACCATGTAAAAAGTATCAATACATTGATTCGATTTCATTGTATGTTTGCAATTTTTCTCTGCTGATTTGTTAGTTAGTCATAATGTTTTTATATGATGTTTTGCCCTGTTCCATTCATTCAAAAGTTACATTCATCACACACACACACACTGACTGATGTGATCGTTTGATGATAATACAACACTTCCTTTCTCACCAATTATTATGCTTGTCATTTGTAATTGCTCTACAAAGTCTATATATGTAATGCGGAGGGAATATTTTAGTAAGTTGTTAAAATATTGCATTTTTTTGACTGAATAAAGAGCATACTCTCTCACTTCCTATCTTTTGCCCCTTCATTTACAATGTTATAAATCAGTCGGATTGTGTAATGTTCATTCTGACTGTGTTGTTCTACTACTACTATTGTTATTACAGATATTATTTTGATGTAACAATTAGTATTTTTGACCTAATTTGCGTACTGATTGTATGTCGTATGTATGCTTTTGCTTCCATAAATCAGATCTAGTAGATAAGTGGTATTAATTAGTGATATCTATGCATAGTTGATTTTTCTCATTGATCATTCTATGTGTTTCTTTTCTTTTGTTGATCTAGGCAATATTTTTAGATTGTGCATATATATATATATATATATGTATGCGTGTGCGCTTGCACATATCTCTTTGAAACAATTTCTTATGTGTCGTAAACAATATGGTGCAATGACATTGAGTTTCTTTTTGTATACTGCAATTAAGAAAAAATTTCTAAATTCTCTTCTTTAGTTGCATTCTTTCTCTCTCTCTCTCTACTCTGTTTTCCTCAACCTTTTGATTCTAACAATTGAATAGTAATTGTGCTAATAATAGTTTGTATGAATGTATTATTTATAAAATAATATTTAGGTTTATTTCTTGCTTCAATATGATGGTGATGATGATCATGATGACGATGTTATCATGATATATATATATATATACTTTAATTAGCTTTATTATTCTCATAATTCTCAATATCTTCTAGCCAATGTTCTTGTTATTTTTTTGTTTGTTTATTTTTTGGCTTCGTTTTTTTTTGTTCGTTTGTTTGTTTGTTTATCTAGTTCTTAAACTTTTCTTGATAATGAGATTGTAATCAATGATTTGAAAATAAAAGTTCATTGTTTTTTTCCTATATTCATGCACTCACACATAATCAACATGAATTTTGGCTGATACAATGCAACCATTAGTTGAAAATATGTATTCAGTATAATGGTTTTGTAACATTTCATTGTATTTCTTGCTTACACTATATATATATAGGAAAGAAGCTGGGTTGAGTATGTTTAAGTTTTCTTGCAATATCTTCTATGTGAACTAGTTGATTGCTTGACTTCTCCAATGCTCAGTAAAGGCTGAATGTCTTGGTCCATGCTTGTATTATACTTAGTGAGATAAGTGAACTTTAGACTACTTGTAGAGAAAAATTCATACTTCAGAATCTAAAATACAGTATGCCCTAGTGATTAACAATTCAACTACTCTTGACCTTCAACTTCAGGTAATTTATCAGAACACTAGTTTTAGCCATTGTCATGCCATGAAAAAAATATAGGGCCTCTCTAACAGCTTTGTGAAATGGAGCCTTCAGGACAGGAAATACGGCAACATTCTATATATTCCTGCATTTTGATCGGTAGATATCTCGTTAGCAAGCCCAAGATAAGTTTGGAAACCAGTCTAATGCTCTTACCAGACATGATTATGTGTTCTGTAGTGAGAATAAAGGTTATTGGTCACTGGGTATGGACAGTTAGCCGCTCAAGTTATTGAATATGTTTTTTCCCTTTCACTGATTGATTTCTACTGTTCTTTTAATTGTGTGGAATAAAAGATTATCTGGTGTTACTCTGGTACTCCAATCTTAGTCGCGAATCGTGTATCAGATATATAATCGGGTCCGTGTATAGCGAGTCGTTTGAATATTCCGTTTAGCAATAATATAAACTCGGTCACCAAAACCAGCCTCATAATCATATTACTGTATAAGCGTAGTACATCATTGTTGTAGCCTGAGTCTTTTAAATCATTGGTTAGTCAACTCCCGTTGTAGTTATTATCGTCTACAGAAATAGACAATAAGCGATGTAGACTAGTCAGAAAATCTCAGTATATCATCTCTAACAATCAAGCAATAAACTTAAGCATTCCCCACCAAATTCATATAAGTGAGCTAAAACATGGTAAATGCCGTTTTATTTAATTATGGTATAGATGTATACTAATGGAAACAAGAATCGGTTATGAGTAAACAAATTTATTGTTTAATCGAGTGGTTTGCAGAGACCTAGTGAATCGTGATTCATTATTTGTTACGGGCTGGAATAAGGCGAAAAGTCATTGAGATTCATACGTTAGTTCTTAGCATATGACCTCCAGAATTGTTCACCAGTCGTTTCTTAGATATGATAACAGTCTCGTGAAAATTATTTACAAACAATTTTTTTCCAGCTCTAACCCACTTTTGTATTAGAAATACTGGACAAGGTTCGGACAAAATTAAAATACGAGCGTCAATAATTATTGGAGGTTATCGGCAGGAAATCCTGCTTAGTTACTGCTCATCAGCAAGAATTACCAGTAGTGAGAAGGAATCTAATATTCTCAGAAGTAAATGGTTCACCGTCACTGTTTCACAATCTGAGATGTTAACATTGTATTGTTTGGCCATCTACTGACTTCCTATAGAACTAAGATGTATTATAATTGATTGATTACGAGATGAAAACTTATATATGTCTAGTTCTTTCTAGTGTTAATTGAAGTCTATCGATTTCAATAAAATGCACTCAAACGTCGAGTCACTCAGGCAAATTGCTGCATTGAAATTTGATCGACATTATTTAGGACTAGGTCAATATTATTATCGGTCACAACATAACGATCAATCAGTCTCAGTTACACAGTCTTATTTCTTCTACATACATCCATCGTTTTTTGTTTCATTTTTAACCTTTAAATAATAACCGAAATCACGAGTTAATTGAAGCTAGACCATCATGAAAAACCTGGAAGGCTGTTTCGTCCTATTGTGGGACTACTCAGCAGTGCGCATCCATAATCCCGCCACACAAGAAGCAGTGAAGTTCAACCGGGGTTGTTGTGAGATAGTAACTCACTGAAGACCACAATGGATGTGTCGCTTAATTTCGTAGATTAGTTAAAGTTAGACATCAACACCGTTCAATACCGGCCGGCTCAATGGTCTAGAGGTTTAGCGTCCTGAGTTTGGATATCATAGATACACACAGTTGTAGAATCCTATACTAGGACTAAACGGCCTTCCAATGCTTCCAAGTTTTCAATGATGATCTAGCTTCAATTGATTCATGATCTCAACTATTCAAATTACTTATAATGTCCATCATTATTTAATAGTCAAATTTATGATATGATAGAATTTATCTGATAGTTTTTTAGAAATATATTTCATACTATTATACAATTTAGCATAATTACATTGATTTACAAAAAAAAATATTTTCTGGCATGAATTTACTCTCACC